AAACAGAGCCAGGCATACACACACACATAAACACATACATAAATAAACAGAAACACTCAAATAAATGCGCACACGCATAAGTTGGCATACGCATTTACAAACACACTCAAAAAATATAGTCACACACAGAGATACGCCTACACAAATACGTGTATATTAACACCCACCTATTAAAAAGGCACTCATACAGAAGCACATGTGAGTGCGTATTTATGTTTGTATGTGCGAGTATGTTTATGTGCGAGTATGTTTATGCATGTCTTTATGTACGAGGATTTCTCCATGTGTATGCTAGTTAATATCATGTGCATCCATACGTCTATTATATATATATATATATATATATATATATATATATATGTGTGTGTGTGTGTGTGTGTGTGTGTGTGTGTGCATGCGCGTGTATGTATTTACTTGGCCTCACAAGGTCTGTTTTATGTGGAAATCGCCATGCATATACGTATGCATAGGGGCAAAGGACTACCTTTTTTGCTCAGCTCCAGCGACCACTGTCACGCTGACATCGATATTACACTGACACCTCCTCTCTTTACTCCCACTTCCGGCCGAAAGTGAACTCCTGTGCCAGGTAAGCATGTGCGTAAACTATATTGTAATTTAATGAAACATATAAATATATATATATATATATATATATATATATATATATATATATAATACATAGTAATAATACATAGTAATTTCTGAGTCGCGATGGAATTATATTTTTTAAAAATATTCATATATATATATATATATATATATATATATATATATATATATAGTAATTTCTGAGTCGCAATGGAATCATATTTTTTAAATATTTTTATATATATATATATATATATATATATATATACATGCACTTTTCATAATATATATATATGTATATATATTAAAAAATATGATTCCATCGCGGTTCAGAAATTACTATGCTTCGAAACTTGACTTAAGTCCTAAGGTTTAATTTCAATATAAAACTTAAAATTTAGAGTACAGTTTCATTCTCAAGCGATGTTTAGAATAACAAACTGAAGAAATGTTTTACTTATTTATATGTTGGAAATGGAGGTGTAATCTGGTTTCTTTTTTCTTTCGTTATCAAGGGGTCACTACTTTGATGAAATTATGAGTGTTAATTATATATCAATTTTTTTTTTTTTTTTTTTTAGTCGTGTAAGATTCGTTTGGGGGATTTTTTGTCTGGCTACAATAGCCTTTTTTTCCATGGCTCTGTTGTTTTTATTACTATTTTTTAAAATTTACTGATTGATTTTATAGTTACAGTTTTTTTGGTGTTAATTTATTTGTTTTTTTCGTTGATGGTTTCTTACAGGGGTGCTTAGATATGATTGCAGAACAACAGAATGAAGTCTTCTCTTTGAACTCTAGTTTGTTTCCCCGCTCTCATTACCTTGGGCCATACTATGCTAATGTTAGTCAATAAATTCCTATACTTGTGTTTATAGCGATGCATTGCCTGTCGGGGGCAGCCAATGTTATTCTGGTGATTAGGAGGATATCTTTTAGATCAATCCGCTGATACACCTGACTTCTTTGATCGTCTAGCGAGGCACTAAGTGCAAATCTATTATTGCATCATCTGACGCGCGAGCACACACACACACACACACACACACACATATATATATATATATATATATATATATATATAATCAGCCTGGTCCCTCGTGATACATAAGGCTTCTTAGGGAGGTTTCTGCAATCGTGTTGTTTTACGGGTTGGGCTGATTGATACACACTATATTATTATTATTATTGTCGTGGATTTCTAGTGGGTGTCCGACAGTTGTGTTCTTGTGCCAGACTTATCTATCTTTCTTAAATATCAATAACGTATAGGCTGAAGGGTCGTTCTTGCCGGCGTTTGAATCCAGGTTTCTAGAATGCCACGGTAGAGAAATGGATTGAGGTTTGGTTGATGATTCGGAGAGCCGAGTTTGAACAATCACTTTGCTAATACCCCTGAGAAAAGTATGCATTCAACTCTTCCACCACCCACCCTCCACTAGCTATGGATAATTAGTAGGACAGACTGGGTTCTATAGCTTTGGTTGGCAACCAGTCTACCGCAGAACGAAATGGTAACCAACTGCGGGAAAAAAAAACTTCTGCTTCATGACTCAAATGAGACAAGATCGCCCAAATGTGTTTCACGGCTGGCCCTTAAACGACTGAACAAGAATGCTAACCTAGAATCTTTCTATATCATTTACTTTTGGCCTTGTTATGTACGACACAGAATAACTCCATTTGCTGGTCCTGCTTAGATTATATTTAATTTTTGTCTAGATCTTATTTATTGCATATTAAACATTTTTTGTCTTTTTTTTTTCTACAGTCAGTACGAAGCTCCTGTGTTTGGTTTGGTTTATTTTGTTTTACGGTATATCAACCTTAATGAATTATTTAAAGTTGATAACTTTTTTTTGCTGGTAATATATATATATATATATATATTTTTTTTTTTTTTTGTCAAAAACCTATTTCCAGTAATATTATTCCTTCAAAAATGAATTGCTGGTAATATTTTTTTCTTCATAAATGAATTTCTGGTAATATTTTTTTACAAAGTATTTCTGGTATTAAAACCTATTTTTACACTTTCATAGTGTTTTGACCCCAGTTTTGTGAGTTAACTATTTGACCATAGCTGGGACCCTAAAAGGGTGAACACTAGCAATTAAAAGGTGGTTCAATGCTTCTCAAAACTTCCAGATCAGAAGCCTTGCTGTTGGACGTAGTTTATCGTCTTACCCAGGACGCGGATGTAGTTTATCGTCATACCGATGACGGAGCTCCTCCTGTGAAATGGTGCATAAAACGCTAACGCCTGTTACCGATTTCTCGAGATTCTTTTTCAGTTTCGCCGTCATAGTGACTTTGCAATGATTGAACCAACGCGATATGATATTATATTGTTGCTACCTTAAAAAGAGAATGGTCACAAACTTGATATAAACGAAGCGATTCCTGTTGATTTTGATAATAAGTGTCCTTTTGTTGCCATTTTCTTTAAGACTTTCTTGGTGCCGACTCACTCCGTCCATAGAATTCTCAATATTCTTCTGAAGAACAACATTTCTGCTGCCTCCAGTTTTCTCCTCATCCGTGGAAAGATTGTCCAGCATTCACTGCCATGTAAGAGGATAGATATCACATAGCAATCCAGCACTCTTTTCTTTGTTCCTAACGAATGTTTTCTGTTTCTCGTCACCCAGCTTAACTTTTGGAATTCCCATATCACTAGTTCAATGCCAGATTTCGGTGTAGCATTTTCTATCCTCTATCACGAGCGCTTTTCTTCACTTGACCACTAAAGAAGTTATACGTAGGACCTTGAAACTTCTTTCTCTTTGTGCCTTATCTCTTCAAGACATAGACAATCATATCAAAACTTAGTGGACGTTTGTCTCAGAACTCTTATGCAATGGGTTCGACGCCGCGCTATCATGATCTTGTGCCACACTATACTAATATGAATCAATAAATTTATATATGCGTGTTTACATTGAGGCTTTACCTGTTGGGGCAGCCATTGTTAACGGTTTCTCGAAATTCTTTTTTCAGTTTCGCTGTTATAATGACTTTGCAGTGATTGAACGAACGCGACATATATTGTTGCAAACCTTTCGCATAAAATAGGATGGGTGAGGGTTATGAACAAAGCCGATGCTACTGATATTGACAGCCGAAGCCATTTTCTGCTTAGAGGACGTATGAATCTGTTTTATAATCATTGTCGGGGTGTCGAGCCCCCCCCCCCCTTCTAGGACACTGAATAGACTGCTCGCTATGGAATTCAGTGCTAGAAATAAAAAATTGAATAATAATTTACCGATGCCAAATCAGATCATTTCTAATGGTGTTGAGTCTAAATCTGACTTTTTTTTATCATTTTTTACTAATGAGTAAACAGACCCCAGACGTAAATGATGCCTTAGGAACTGATAAACGTTTGCTTTTGGAGGAGAACGAACTAACTGTAAATGGAATCAGTGAACCGAGTTCAAATTCTAGCTGAGGCAGTCTGAGTTCACTTTATATTAATGCCCTTGGAAAATACAGAAATCCATCTCTCTCCTCCTATGGATTAAATAGTCTAGCAGATTGGGCTGTCATGTCTAGGCCAACTATGAATTCATAATCTGTGGAAACAACAGGAAAATACTATACTTTAAAGAAACAATTATGACAGTGAACAGCAGTCCTGGGGATAGTGATAAACTACTCCTGGAAACAAGGCCTCTGATTGGGAGATTAGCGCTTTTGAGGAGCGTAGAACCGCCTCTTAATTGCTATCCAGCCTGACCCAGAATAATAAAATAGCACTTATTAGGGTCCCAGCTATGGACAAATAGTTAACCCCCACCAAACTGGGATCGAAATATTATGAAAGTATAAAAATAGATTTTTATAGTAAAAAAACCAGCAATACACTTTTTAGAAAAAAATATTAGCAGCAATATTTTGGGAAAAATATTAATACATATTCTATTCATATGAACATATCCTAAAAATTTTGTCGGCATTAAATAACCCATCGAGCTGTTGATATGCCATAAGACACAACAAACCGCAGTGCACAGTATACAGATGTTAGAGAAAAGGAAGGTGTGGATAGCCATGATCAGTTTTTAGCTTTCTAAAATTTATTGATGTAAGGCATCTCGTTAAAAATTCAAGAGGATTTTGACCTGTTTGTATATATATTTATTTTCTAAGTGAGAAAGATTATGTCATTCCCACATCGGAAAGAGTAAATAAGAAGTTGTTACGTTGATTGTAAATATATTTTGTAACCCCTTGCAAAGTTGAAGCTTATTTCGGTATAACTTGAAGTCATTCGCCTTCATCTTTAACACCACCTCAACCTCTCTCTCTCTCTCTCTCTCTCTCTCTCTCTCTCTCTCTCTCAAATGTTCATCTCTTTAATCCCCCACCCCCTACCCATAATTGCCAATATCCCTGCCAACTCGATGATACCCCATTACTCGCGAACCCAGGACGCTGAAGATATTTCAATCAGTCGATACCGAGTACTTGCTAAACCTGATTTATATTTATACCGTTAATTGCTCTGATTAAAACGCGGATATCTAAGTGTTGAGGCGCGGGGGCGGGGAGATAATGTTTGGCAGAAAGATGATATGAGCATAGGATAGAATTTGATAAAATTGGTACACTGATATTACTTTGTCTTTCTTTTTTTCTCTCTCTTTCTTTCGTTTTTTCTTTCTTTTTTTTTTCCTCACTCTTTTCTCGCGATCTCTCTCCTAACCAGACCTTTTCTCTCTTTCGCCAGTTTCTCTTTTGTCTTACAGCCATCTTTTTTATACGTCTTTTTCTGAAAGTCACATTTTCTTTCTCTTTCTTTTATTCACACTTTCTTTTCGCTTTTCTCTTTTTCTTCTTTCTTTCTCTTCTTTTTATTTTTATTATTTTTTATTTTATTTTTCTCTTTCTTTCTTTTCTTTTCCTTTCTCTTTTTCTTTCTTTTTTAGTTTCTTTTTACTTTTCTTTCTTTTTCTCTTCTTTTTTTCTCTTTCTTTTCTCTCGTTCTCTCCGAACAGGATCTTTTCTCTTTTCTGCTACCTTCTTCTATCATTCTTTCTTAATAATTTCTCTTTTGTCTACGGCTATATTTCTTATAAGTCTTTTTTTTTCTAACAGTCTCATTTTCTTTGTCTTTCTTTTAGCCATATTTTCTTCATTCTTTTCTCTTCTCTTTCTGCTGCTTACTCTCTTCCCCTCTCTCCTTCTCTGTCTTTCTCTCCCTTTCTCTCTCTCTTTCTCACATAATTACACCTTTTCTCTCTTCAACTTCTTTTATCACTTCTTTCTATACTTCTCTTTCCATTCATTCCCTTCTGTTCTACTTCTCTTTTACCTCTTTGTTTTTAGTTGTTTTTCTTCCATTATTTTATCGTTGTTATCTTTTTTTTTTGGCTTGTCGCTTCACTCCCCTTTTTGTCGTTTGTATTTTTATATATCTGCATAGCAAATACTCTCCTCTTTTCTTTCTTTCTCTTTTTAAGTCTAACTCTTCTCTTTTGCTCTGTGTCCCTATCTTTCTCTATTTCTTTCTTAATCACTTCAGCCTCTCACTCTCTATTTCTCTCTGTCTCATCTTTCTTTCTTTTCTCTCTTTCATTCTCTCTTTCCTCTTTCTTTTCTTTCATCCTCCTTTTTAACAATTATTACCCTATAAAAATCAAGTTTTGATAATGTTTTCTTTCTTTATTTTCCCGATGGTGAGTGGCTCGATCTTTCAGAACCAAATTGTCACACTTAGTTTCATATTTTCGCCGACTTTTTTTGATTGCGACCTCCGATCGGTGCGTCACTGCGTAAATCGAACGCAATTTCTCAACAGTGGTTAATTTTGTCCATTTTGGAACACCATAATTAGCTAATGGCGATCTAATTGGAGACTGTCATTATTATTGTCATCGATTGGCTTCCATTCTCTGTTGACAACGGCGACAGAGAGAGAACGAGAGAGAAATATAAGTTTTCCCCTACCTACACCTCACTTATGTTTATTTATTCGTTTAGCATAGTTTGACACAAGGACAAAAATAACGTGTTACCTAATGAGAAATTATATAGCAATAACTTACTAGACTTACTTGCTAAACATCTCTCTCCAACAACTACTTATGGAGACAAATATTAAGTTTCCTTTAATCTGGCACAAGGCCAACCAAATGGAGTATTCACTACACTAACAATGATTTGTGAGTGAAACGAACATGCTAATCGTTGTTTGACGTCAGACGCCTTATATATTTTGATATTCCTTTATTAATAAAGCTGAATTAATTACGCACTGTGTTCGTTAATTTCAACAGCTCCATTAGTTCAACTTAATTGCATACGGATAGAAAATGAGCTGAGTAGGGATACAAAAATAGAACGGGGGTGGGTCATGAGACAAGGATGTGTCTTCTCCCTAGATTTATTCCACCTCTACACCATAGATGTCTTAAGGGAATTGGACACACCCTACCAGGATTTATTATTGGTGGGTGTAATCTTAACAATATCAGTCAGTTATGTGCCATACATGATACACGCTTAGACGATCATGTATCTTTCGATACGTGACTGGCGAGGCAGATTTTTCCCGCAGTAGGTTGTCATTTCTTTCTGCAATAGACCAGTTGCCATCCAACTCTATAGAACCCGGTCTGTCCTGCTACTTACCCATAGCTGAGGTGGAGAAGAAGAGGATTCATACCATTCCCAAGGGTATTAGCACGTAAGTAAATGGATTCGACTGGAATTCGAACTCGGCTCTCCGGTTCCTCAATCTCAGCTGCTATCCATTACCCTACAATATAAGATACGCAAATGACGCAAATGAGTTGGTGGCCGACTCAGAAAGAAAACAACAGGGCCTTCCAAGACAGAGTGGCAGAAGAAAGCTAGAAGAAAAGACTAATCATCACCTGCAAGAAGACATAAAGTCTGGTCATGAGCAAGAGAAAAACCCCAAGAATTACGGATTGGAGATGTCCAAATCAAGTAAGCGCAGATGTTTAAATATCTGAGAAGTGTTTTAACAAAGGATCCGAACACGAATTAGACGAGCGAAAGAAGCATTCCAAAAGCTAAGGAACGTGCTGAGAAACAGAAAAATGATGTTAAAAACAAAGAAAAGAGTGCTGGATCGCTATTTGATACCCAGCCTTGTATATAGCAGTAAATGTTAGACAATCTCTCCATGGATACGGAGAAAACTGGTGGCACTAAAACAGGGAAGGAAAATGGGATGATAACGTCACTGGGTGCACTGTAAGATTATTTAAATGAGAGTCGTATTGTAACAGTGGGTGGAAAGTGTGACACCGAGATCCGAAGCAACATTGGGATAGCAAAAGAGGCAATCCAAAAGCTAAGCAAGGTGCTGAAAAATGGAAAAATGACGTTAAAAACAAAGAAAAAAGCGCTGGATCGCTATGTGATATCCATCCTTGTATATGACAGCGAATCTTGGACAATCTTCAGTAGTCAGTAGAAATATGGTTCTATAGAAAGACACTGAAAATTCCATGGACGGAGTGAGTAAGCAACAAGGAAGTCTTAAATAAAATGTAAACAAAAAGTACCGTTATACTCAGAATCAGGGAAAAAACAGCTGAAATTCCTTGAACATATAATGATGGAGGGACTTGGAAACTTAACCCTCACCGGGCATATTGAGAGCAAGAGAGATAGGGGAAGTCTACATGACTGACGAGTTTGTGGGAATGTATGACGACACAGGAGTGGAGGCTTTAACAGAAGTAGAAAAACTGCTAAGAAAGAGATAGGAAGTTGCGGAGAGATATGATCATCTATGTCCGGAACAGATGCGGCATATAAATAAAGAATACTATGATATGTGGAATTGGTCAGTCGAGTTCAAATTCTTCACTAATGCACTTGGAAAAGGCACGAACCTGTCTCTTCTTCCCACTTGAAAATAGAGGGTACGTAAATAACAGAAGAAAGTGGACTCTCGGGTCCTTAGTTGCCAACGAGAAGGAAAACTGAATTTCAAACTGAAGTAGACAATGGTAGACCTCTTCATTATGATGCCCAAAAAATGCATACCATTAACAGATAATGAAGAAAAGGAATCTGTAGAGAGTTAGGATTAGGATTGCCTACGATCTGAAGGGATTTTTCTTCTCTTGCTATGTACCGTTTCCCTTCAGGAAGCTGACGATCATGGTCCTCCACAATTTCCTCTTCTTTGTAGCTCCTAATAAATTTTGCCTTTTTGTTATTTCTCCTAAATCTTGCACCGCCATCCATTGTCTCAAGCTCGCTAAGTAGGTTACGTGTTGTTTTTCTTTGTCCCTCTGTCCTGTGAGTATCAAATTTTCCAAGCCCTCTTTCATCAGTATAAGCCTTAGAAATTTCAACTTTCTCTTTCTAATGTTAAGTATAAGTGTCTTTTCTTTCCATTTTCTCTAAAACTTCGTCATTGCCACATGTTCAATCTATGGTATTCTCAGCATCCTCCGGTAGAACCCCATTTCTGTTGCTTCAAGTCTCATCTTCATCTGATGAGATTGTCTAGCATTCACTGCCATAGAAGAGGACTGATATTACGTAACAGTTCGGGACTACCCTTAAAAATGCAGTAATAGAAAAGATTTTTAAATTCTGCAACGGTCAGGCCAAAAATGACTCCTGGCTGTTAGTACCATATAACACAATACTAGCGGTCATGTGTTAGATGTAAAAAAGATGGACACTAAGAAATAAATCTCATGATGGGAAATTACGCAGCATGACCCCCCACTCGAAGATCTAATCGCAACTTATGAAAGAGTTGACTCATATTTTGGGCGACAACAGTTTGTTAATGTTAATAATTTGTCGATATTTTAAATTACCTTACTTATTCTCTCAAGTGGTTGTCGTTGAAATTTAACAAAGAATTAAGTGGATTGTGGTCGAGATTGGCTGAACCTTTGTACTTTACATTGGACACAGACGCGCACACACACACACATACAAATATATATATGTATGTGTGTGTGTGTGTGTGTGTGTGTGTGTGTGTGTGTGTGTGTAAAAATATATAGAAAATAGGAAAGAACTTGTTAGGGTAAAAAATCCAAAGTTCTTTAGTATTTTTTTATTATTTTTTAAAAATAATCCTCGATACAAAAGTAGAGCATAAATATAATTATTTATTTAAAATTATAATTCCAACGCTACATAAGAGTTCTCATATGTAGCGATGGAATCATATTTTAAATAAATAAATATATATATATATATATATATATATATATATATATATATATATATATATATATTATTATTCTTCTGCACCACCCATTGTCAAACAATGATTCTTCTAAAAGAATTCTTTATCCCTTTTTGTGCTAATTTTCCTCCTCTCTCTCTTTCTCTCTCTTTTTTTTTCTTTCTTTATCTTTTTCTCTTTCATTTTACTTTTATTGACAATCTCGCTATGTTCCCACACTGATCCTAATTCACAAAAACAAAATCTTTCAACACTAATACCGCCCTCATCCCTGGTCCTACAACCCTTTTACCCCGATGTTCAACATCTCATTCCCCTACCGCCAACAACTGTTAAATCTGAGGTTAATTTCACATTAAGTTTCGCACAGCGAGAAATCAAACAGAAAACGGATTTTTTCTAATAATTTCACCTACAAGCGGAATCTACCCACCTGAAAAACCTAATGTTGGTTAGTCTCCACCGTCCCTCTGTTTATATTTCGCATCCACAGATGAAGAACACAGGCATGTTCAAAAATTCCGAACTTGGAATCTCAATCTCCGTGCTTCATTTTTGTCACGTGGTTGATATTAATAAATGTTTTTGCGCTCATTTCATCGGTACCCACTCGTTTGACTTTTGTTTTATTATAAATTATCTACTATATATATATATATATATATATATATATATATATATATATATATATATATATATAGTTTTTTTATCGAACAAAATTTAACGATAGCGAGGAAAAAGCAAAATTTATATGACATTTTTAAAAAAGCTAAAAAAGAACAACCGGTTTCGTCCCAGCCTTATCAAGTTTATTTTCTGGGATATAAATATATATATAAGCGTGTAAATTAAATTAATATAACGAATGGAAGGGAAGAAATATGAATTTCAAGAAATCTAAAGTCCAATAACATTCAAACCCAATAAGCATTCCCTCTGTTTACAAAGGGAAGGCCTATGGGATCTGATATACAAGGACTCTAGAACCTTGAGGTGATATGAGGAGTGGGACCTAGATAAAATCGAAAAATAGCCGCCACTAAAATCAAACATACAATTCCTGTTATTTATTACATGCTCAGCAATAGCAGAGCCAGAAGTATTGGTTTGTTGGCTTTTCCTGGCAGACGGATTCAAAATCCTGGGCGTTGTTTTAGTCTCAAATCCAAACGTTGGGACGTCCTCCCTATGTAGTCGAGTCCACAACTACACTTATGTTTATAAATCACCGAACTAACATGATGGTGGTGGGGGAGGAAGTTCTTGCGAATGGAAGAGAAAACAGGACGGGTAACAAATATTACCCGAACATTAGCCGAAAAATAACAGTTATTAATCACACGCAAAATTGGTCTAGATAAAGTCTCACCATCTGTACTAATATAGGGAAGACGCAAATAAACTGGACATTTTTCAACAAAATGCGGCTTAACCCTATGAAATTTATTGATGA